ATCCAATCTTGTATCCAAAACCACAAATTGGTACCTGTGGGTTGCTAGTAGTGTTGATTACTTCTTGTAGATGATGCTAATTGGTTTATTTGGTGGAAGATCATATGTTCAGATCCTTAATGCATATTATTACTCCTCTGATTATGAACATGAATATGCTTTGTGAGTACTTACGTTTGTTCCTGAGGACATGGGTGAAGTCTTGCTATTAGTAGTCATGTGAATTTGGTATTCGTTCGATATTTTGATGAGATGTATGTTATCTTTCCTCTAGTGGTGTTATGTGAACGTCGACTACATGACACTTCACCATTATTTGGGCCTACATGAAGGCATTGGGAAGTAATAAGTAGATGATGGGTTGCTAGAGTGACAGAAGCTTAAACCCTAGTTTATGTGTTGCTTCGTAAGGGCTGACTTGGATCCATATGTCTAATGATGTGGTTAGGTTTACCTTAATACTTCTTTTGTAGTTGCGGATGCTTGCAATAGGGGTTAATCATAAGTGGGACACTTGTCCAAGTAAGGGTAGTACCCAAGCACCGGTCCACCCACATATCAGATTATCAAAGTACCGAACGCGAATCATATGAGCATGATGAAAACTAGCTTGACGATAATTCCCATGTGTCTTCGGGAGCTCTTTTCTCATTATAAGAAATTGTCCTGACTTGTCCTTTGCTACAAAAAGGATTGTGCCACCTTGCTGCACTTTATTTACTTCCATTGCTTGTAACTCGTTACAATTTATCTTATCACAAAACTATCTGTTACCTACAATTTCAGTGCTTGCAGAGAAAACCTTACTGAAAACCGCTTGTCATTTCCTTCTGCTCCTCGTTGGGTTTGACATTCTTACTTATTGAAAGAACTATGATAGATCCCCTATACTTATGGGTCATCAGTGACATACAGATCTTTGTGAAGACAAAAGGCCTTTGAGGCCTGGATGAGAACCAGAAGGCAAGACACTGGCAAGGCCCCTTTGCCGAGGACACCCACGAGGCCCCGGCAAGACTCTTTCCGAGGGCGCTCACAAGGCCCCGGCAAGACCCTTGCCGGGAATATCTGCAAGACCGCGGCAAGGCTTTACCGCCCCGTCGCGGACCCAGCTCAGCGGCCGACCCACCAACTAAGAAAGTACCCACGTGGCTATGTGTGGCTTCTAGACCAACTAGTCAAGCACCTGCGTGGTGGCATGCAAATCTTCGTGAAGACACTGTGACCGCACCAGCTCAGCAGCCAGCCAGCCTACATGGCACTACATGCCTCGTTGGCCTAGACGCGTGTCGAAGCAAGGCGAAGCAGCGACGGATGGAATGGGCTTTGTTGCCGTCCCTGATAAAGCAAGAGGACACCTAAGTAGCACATTAAATGTGTTTTCTCCTGTGATGTCAGGCAATAAGCTTGTACACTGTACATACTATCCACCTCATGTGTGCCACTATGGCGACCCCTTTAACCTATAAAAGGAGGCATGAGGCTTACTGAGGAAGGATTTAGACTTTTTGGACTACGCACACACCGTAGCTAGTTCAAGAACTCAAGAACACTCAAATATATACCAAAGCAAGACTAGGGTATTACACATCCTCGCGGCTCGAACCTGGGTAAAATCTCCTCGTACTGACTCACCAGACCCGCTCTTTTCACAACCTCGCGCCCGCCAACCGTAGAAGGGATCCTCGTGGACCCATAGGTGTCGTTTCCCCGAAACTACACTATTCTCTTGGAGATCTATTTGATCTAACTCTTTTTGCAGTGTGTTTGTTGGGATATGATGAACTTTAAGTTTATGATCAGATCTATTTTGTCCATGAAAGTTATTTGAGTTTTGATCTCTTATATGCATGATTATTTATAGCCTCATATTTCTTCTTTGAATCTTTGGTTTAGTTAGGCTGACTAGATCAATTTATCTTGCCATGGGAAGAGGTGCTTTGTGATGGATTCGGTTATGCGGTGTTCTTTCCCAGTGACAGAAGGGGCAATAAGACACATATTGATTGTTGCAATTAAGGATAACAAGATGGGGTCTATTCCTACATGAATAGATCTTTTCTACATCATGTCATCATTCGTATTGCATTACTCTGTTTCTCCATGAACTTAATACACTAGATGCATGCTGGATAGCGGTCGATGTGTGAAGTAATAGTAGTAGATGCAGGCAGGAGTCCGTCTACTAATCTTGGACGTGATGCCTATATATTGATCATTGTCTAGATATCATTATAATTATTTGAGGTTTTATCAATTTCCCAACAGTAATTTGTTTACCCACAGTGTGCTATTTCTTGAGAGAAGCCACTAGTGAAATATACGGCCCCGAGTCTATTCTTTATCATATTCTCCTTTGAGGTATTTTTTATTTGCTTTTGTTTTCAGATCTATTATTCTAGAAACCCAACAATACCTTTCTGCACTTTTTATTTGCATATTCTATTTCGCGTTTATTCGAGATCTATTGATCCAATCTATCACAATTTTATCCCATCAACTTGACAACTTCCTACGCCGTTACCCGTAAGAGGGATTGACAACCCCTCATAAGCGTCGTGTTGCAAGTATTTATTCTTTGTGTGTAGGTACCGTTAACATAGTGTTGTTTGGTTCTTCTACTAGATTGATACCTTGGTTTCATAATTGAGGGAAATACCTACCGTAGCTGTGTTGCATCATCCTTTCCTCTTTGGAGAAATACCGACGTAGTTCAAGCGACATCAGTTATCAATCCAGTAGGAGGACCAACCAACACTATGTAAACAACACCTGCATAGAAACAACAAATACTTGCAATCCAACGCGTGTAGGGTTGTCAATGCCTCAAAAGTACTGAGATAGATTATATTTTATGGGATTTGATAAATATATCTAACTAAAACACAAAATAAAATAAATAAATAAACATTGCAGAAAGGTATTTTTGGTTTTAATATGATAGGAAATAGACCCGGGGGCCGTGATTTTCACTAAATACTTCTCTCAAGAAAATAGCATACGGTGGGTAAACAATTTACTGTTGGGCAATTGACAGAAAAACTAATAATTATGACGATATCCAAGGCAACGATCATGTATATAGACATCACGTCCAAGATTAATAGACCGACTCCTGCCTACATCTACTACTACTAGTTGACCCGTTGCGCCAAATGGCGCAGAGACCCGCTAAAGACATGTTGTCGATGAAAATAGTTTCATTTTGCAAGAACATATTCGATGTTGGTAGTAGAAAGCCTATGGTTAAGTCATACTATATTGATAATATGTTTATGACGCTGAGAAATCTGAGTTTGCAAAAACAAATCTTATTTTTATAACATGCATAGACCAACTAAGGAAGCATTTTTTTAGTTGAAAATATAGTTACCACACTGAGAAATCCAAGTTTGAAAAAATATCAAGTTTGCATAACATATATAGACTAATTAAGGATGCATTTTCTTAGCAGTGTTTGCACTAAACTTTTATTTTCCATGTGCACAAAAAGAAAAACCCTCTCTGTGTTGTGCATATGGAGGCATGGGTATTTGAAAGGCTCATATGCTACCTAGCCTAGTCCAAGAACAATTCTTTGTGTGGGTCGTCCGGGTACCTAGCCTGGTCCAGGAACAATTCTTTGTGTGGCCTGTCCGAAGTAGAATATGAAGCAGCAGCGCCTGCATCCATCGTGCATGTGTATTTCTTTTCTTCCTCGGTTCCTCCTTTGGGCGTGAGAAGCGTACTCAACTGGTGATATTTTTCCTTTCCTATTATTTCAGATTACTTGGCATGCATGGTAACACAAATGGCCCATTACGCCATATAGCACAATGTCCATTTCAAACACGAAGTGTTTTGAAAATTAAATTAGGTTTCAGCATGTTGGAATAGTCCAGACTTGAAACAGCAGATGCAACCACTTTACCAATTCAAACTCTTTAGCAACCACTTATGATTATCATGTCAAATGGCACAAGGTGTCGATTTAGACTAAGAGTTATTTGAAAAGTGTTTCATTTGTTCTTTACAAAGTGTTAGATACAATTTCACTACACATAAGAATTTTCAAGCTCAGTTAAAAAGGTATTTTTAAGCATACAAACCACAAGTCCGCGATGCAAAATTGTGGTTTAGTTGTGGATGTCAAAATGCTTGCGACAAAAAGGGCATTAGTTAGTTTCCTTTAGTAGGGACAAACGATGTAAATACACATCTTAGTTTGGTAGGAGAAAGCCCTATTTAAAATTAAATCTATGTTCAGTTGCTTTAGCTGTGGTCAAGCACACATAGCAATAAATATAATTTTCCTTAGCAGAAAAATGGTGTTTGTTGTTTACAACTGGATGCATATGCACATTCTATTTTGGTAGCAGAAAGCCCAAGTTTAAATCATCCCGTGTTGTAAACACGTTTATTTTTTCTAGTACTCATTTGTCTAGGAAATGCACACGCTAAGAATTTCAAGTTTGATGTATGAAAAAGAATATATTTTTACAACATCTATAAACCTGCTAAGAAGGGTCTTTTAGCAGTGTTTCTATTAAACTTTTATCTTGCAAGTGCAGTAAAAGAATAACTTCTGGCGCATATGGAGGCACAGGTATCTGAAAGGCCCATATTACCTAGTGAAACTCTGCGACTGAAACTGGTGAGATTTCTCCCTTCATATTACCTCGGATTTCTCTGCATGCATAGATTTAGTTGCACCAAATGACAGAGTCCAATTTGTAACCCATTTATATGAAAAATTAAGACTCATCTCTTAAAATATATACTTGAGGATGCATAATTTGTTATGTTATTTGGGTAATATAAAGGCATGCTTTTTTAAAAGAAAGCCCACTTAAGACAAAGAGTATGCACAAATACTAACATCAGTTTCTGTACGACGATGGGAAAGTAGATATTCAATACTAGGGTATTGGTAGGTGCAAGAAAATGTCTGAGGATACAACAGGAGCATAATAAATAACATTTTGCTTCTGTCTAACTTATGAGCACATCATGCCCTTTATTTACTCTAGGAATATCTCGTACTCTTTAGCTATTTTTCTAAGTGCATGCCAATTGATCTGAGTAAGCCGCTTTTTCAATATTGAAGAGAGAAGTTTGAGGCTGTCATGCCCACTGCTGAAATTAGACTGGGCATTATTCTGTAGGGCTTGGGGCACGGAATATCGTGAATCAATCACAAGACAAACATCAGTATTAAGCAAGGACTATAGTAGAAGTAGCTAGAGATAATAAACAGAATAAAGGGCTATTTTTCTATAAAATATATTTTTCACTATGAACAAGATTTGTTTAATTGAAATTAAATGTCAAGAAGTTAGAGAGCATGATATAATAAGTTCGAGAGAATGATTTGATGTTGCTATTCAACTGTTGAATAGATATTGAAGGCACATTACATAAGAGTCCTGGATTTTACATATCCGAAAGTAGGCGCACCATGAAAGTGATAATCATCCAATTAATAAAACCATTATTCTAAAAAAAATATTAGACATTGCCTCATATATATACTAACGGGAGTAACTTTCTATTGGTTAGAAACCGTTGTGCTGACAGTTATTAACACGCGCTTTTTTTAGACGCACTATGACCATATATAGGATGGAGACCATTCTCATGCCAATGTCTAGAATAGCCAATCTACATAAGTCCTAGTAGCATGCTCCTACAAGATTCTTACAAAAACCTACATGGGTATGTTCCCAATAGGAATGGATATAGATTATGCTTACAAAAATGCTGCACTCTAACACTCCCACCGGAGCACAATTCAGCTCCCACAATCAGTAATCAGCATGAAAACTTAAAAAACAAGTTTGATAGAAATCAATGTTCAGGAAAGCATGAAGCATAAGCGAAGCGACAGGCTGACGCTTAGAGCAATGGTTGCTTAAGCATTTTTTTAAATAGAACTGCAGGTTTTGGAGGTTGTAGACCGAGAATTAACCTGAGTAGACGATGCGGGACCTTGGGGAAGTTGGTGACATATTTCCTGAATGTGTATTGGCCTGTGTTGCCGCGACAGCATAGATCTGCAATGAAAGAACTTCATTATAAAGATATGTTCCCAGCCTAGTCCTTGCTTGGAAAGAGAAGCAAAAAATAAAAGGATTATGCAATAGACACACTAAACACCAAGGCAATGCAAAATATTCACTGGTTTTACTCATATTTTCAACGACGCATATAAACTGGCCCTAAACATTATATTAATTAACAATAATGAAAAGAACTTCTTAAGGCACTCAGTCACAGGTTATGATACTACCACCTACCATTTTTACACTGTAAAATGACCATGTCAGTACTGATTTTATATGAAGCTACAAAGAGATAATAATAATAATAATAGCGACATTGATGAAAACTGAAATCACAGTATATATAAAACTTGGTATCACACCCTCCTTACGTCATGGCAGTACCTGACCTCTATTCTAATAAAATCATATTATAACAATTTGAATATATATACTGACCTCTGTTATAATAGAATATATATATATATGCTTCACTCAGTGTGCCTACAATTTTTAGAATGTAAATTTTCCCATGTTTTGAGAAACCATTTTAGGATTGCAAGGAACAATTTTGCAAAGTATAACATTGCAAGTAAATCACAAAGAGTTATTGAGAAGCTACCTAGCCTGTAGCATGGAATCTCTTTCGTTAGCACACTCAACCAAGAGCACCATTACAGAGAACAAAGAGGTGTAGTCAAAATAATTTGTTTCATGTATACTTGTAAACAATATTGCCATTTTCCAATAAATAAAGTCATTTCCTGAAAAAAAATGCAGGAAAAAGAGGAACAACCCAGGATTATCAAACCACCTCAACCCAGGTGGCTCACCTCAACGAACACTCGGAAAAGCATGTCGGGTTCTTGATGCCAGGCACCCTCTCAACATTGTCGCCTAGTGAGATATAGCACGCCACCGACGGCGTCCTCTTCCTCGTCCCCCTCTCTACTTCCCCACTACATGTAATCCACAATCTGACTCCCCAGATCCTAAACAAAGCACCATCGGTATCTTTAGTGTCTGAAGTGGAGAACCATCAAGGGACACTGTAAAACAAATTATTTGCAGGTACCAAGGTGCAGCTACTAATTTCCCTTCCAACCATATGAACCTTTGCCATACAAAACATTATTATACAAAGCTATACATACATGAACATAGCTACGTATTCATTATACATTATCTTGCAGAACATTTTAGAACTACTAAAATAGCAGCTGATGGTAAGGAAACACCGTTAGATTTTTCAACAAATAATCTCCAGCTGCTAATTTCTTGGGCGATTACAAACATACCCAGCGTCCATGTTAACAGGATTTATTCAGACAGGTCCCCGGGGCATGCTCACACTCTATTCTATGTTACAGATAGCTTAGCTATGCAAGAATTATCAGGGTAGTCTACTCTATGCGATTCAGTCAAGGTGTTGGTATCAATTACGATAACAGCGATGATACATGTGTGTGCCATATCCACCGGGAATTGAACTGAACTACTCGGGCCCCAATATTTCATAGTGAAAATCAGTAGAAAACTAAAAAGAATAAATTGTAATTAGTTTTGGTAGAAACATATTTCACATTAATTTTAATTAAGCAGAGCAGGGGAATTTCCTCAATGAGATGTGTCGGTGTGTTCATAAGCAATTGTCAGCAGAAAAAGATAAATTGTCAGGATGCCGACAACATGGATCAATGGAATAAATATCACAAATGAAATGACAGTGAAGGGGATATGAATCTTGACTCTGGATTGAACAAAGTAAATGGGATAAGCTCACCTTGCCGCAGAGAAGACGGACACCCAACTTCAATAAAAAAGGTGAATACGCCAAGCAAAATCTGCAAGGGGAATCTTAATTTAGACATGATACCACCTGAACATAGCAAGACATCCGGATGTCTAAAATGCACCTCACCTACTGGAATCACCCTCGCCTCAATGAAAGAAATATAGCGCAATTCGACCCTGAATATGAAGCAATAAGACATAATGAGACATGCTCAACCTGCAATGAATGAACGAATTGTTTGAACCTACACTGAATAGTTCATGTCCATCCATCCGTATGCTACTTTCTCATCAGAACGTCAATCCCAAAGATCTTCTGCTGGAAATATAACTTTATATTAGTCAGCTGACACAACACCTTAACTATCCAAGGGGTTTCCTAATACGCAACACTCTCTCAGAACATTTGACGAACAAATCAAGGGAAGTTTTCAAATCAGCATTACATGTGTAAAGTCATAATCCCAGAACATGATAAATAGCGTAGTAGAAAATTTGAAAAGCACAAAAATAGTTATTAAAGATAGCACCATCGGGGCTAATGTACTATCTAAAAGTGCACTGATGCCTAGTATGTAAAGTTACCTAGAAAAACTCCAGCACATGAAAGGTGTGACAAAATAAAAGGGAAACAACAATCCTCCTCAAGAAATGGTGCTGATAGGAAGACATATTCCTTTTCATATACTGTGGTGCAAGAGTTCAGAAGAAATCAGGCTCACCTATCTTGGAAGTATCCGACTGCTATAGGGACATCAAGCCACAATATCTCCGGCCACTCAGAACCAAAACAATATGCCCTATCTTCAGTTTCAGACTTCCAGTCAAAGGAAACTGTATGGGCCAAAAATAATCTTCATAGAACATAGCAAATAATAAATAAGCAAAAGGATCATCCCTGGAAAAGCAATACATGTTGCAAAACAGTCAAGATCATTTGAAAATATACACATCTTACCCTGCTGCTTGTAGTCCTCGACGACCTGCTCCTTCTTCCTGTCGTTGGCCGCGTCCCCTCCCCTGCAGCCATACCCCATTGCGGAGGAGTGCTGCTGCTTGCACTCCTCGATGGCATGCTCCTTCTCGTATTGTTATCCGCCTCTCACCCCCTGCAGCTCCACCCCAGATAGCACAAGGTCACAATTTATATTCAGAGCTATTTGAAAAGTTGTGGTCCCAAATTCGTTTTCACTTTTAGTGCCAACAAAAATATAGATCTTCTCTGTAATTAATTTACATGACATGACGATGGCATCAATTCATATCCATCCATTACAACATGAACATTTATATTTTGTTCTGCGGAAAACAAACTGGACATATAAGGGAATATACTAAACCGAAACAGAAAAAAAACATGGCAATCTCTTTGCATAATCTGGAATGTAAAAAGGCATAGCTCCCAACTCAAGCTCTAATCTAACCCAGACCTTTGCTACTTCTAGTAATTGTAACTAACTAACTATAACCGATAAAATTATCATCTGAAGAAGTGCAACACAATTGTTCTCAGTTCTCAACTGAATGCCCATATCCATAAAATTAAAATGCTTCAGGAAGTATGAAAATGCACTCAAACGTGATAATGCTTTCTAGTAATCACTACCTAGAACTGAGGTGATAATGCAACACATGTGTCAAGAGGAGAATGAGCAAGAGTGGATTTGGAGTTAAAGGAGAAACCAAATATGGGGACAGAAGGAGAATGGGCAAGAGTGGATCTGAAGGTAGGAGGAGAAACCAACCATGGGGCTCGTCAGCTCGATTCAAGCGTCGAATTCATCTGAGGGCCAATGTTCGGCGAGCGAGCACTCATGTTTAAGCACAATGCATATCCTACAAATTTAACAAAGATCAAGGGGGATATCAGTTATGCCAGCACAAATTCTACGGAAAGAAACTTATTTGATAAGAACACAAATGCAAGGGCATTGTGCAGAAGGTGGTCATACTTCTGGAAAATATAAAGTATCGAATTGTCAAAATTTATCTTCCTGTTTTTGGTCCTATTGCTCAGAGTGTGGTATACCACTACACCAAAGAAAGTAATATCACACGGCAAACTTTATATTTTTCAACCGTCGCATAGAAGAATCATCTAAAGGAAGTAGACACATATGCCATGGACTGACCTAAAATGAGTGGCTTCATCATGTGCAATTGCCTTGACCAAGAGGATATATTAGGAAATGTACGCAGGCTGGTATATCTGTAAGCAATGAGATACATAAGTTGGCACCCAGCATGAGTTTTTTGACGTTACTTCTATATTACAGTAGCAAAGGGAGGGTCACATATCAACTCTTTTTTTTAAAGCTCAAGAGTTGCAAATGCATATGCATATCACATCACTTTTTTTTGTAACAAATATGGCCAATGGCCAATGTCTATATACTAACAAGGATCAAAATTCTAGAGGTTATTTAGTTTATCTAAATATCACATCATGTTTGGTTGAAACAATATGCTAAAATATTCAGTTTGCAAAGCACAATGCTAACATATGGGGGAGAAGGTGGCAGCTCACCTGCAGCAAGGAGCTAGCATAATAAAAAGTAGGAGTTCATCCTTTAGCGTACTATGAACATGTCGCTGCTGCCTTGCACCTTGATGCACCGCCGTTGCCCATAGCAGATTAACATCCAATTGCTTTTGACAAATTGTACATAACAAATTACTTGAATTAATACTTTGTAACTGATCGGCAAGAAGTAGCAGCCAAATTCTAATAATGGAGAGCTGGGTCCAGGATGTATTACTCCTATTTCATACTAATTGTACCTACTGGGGAGAGCAGAAATGTGTAGCACACAGGGACAAAGCAAAGGAACTGATCCGAGATAGGACCACCAGGAACTTACCCCAAAATCATGCATAATCGAGGCTATGCTCCAACTACAAAGCCAGAAATTGCTCCATTGTATCAACACCTGCAATCCTCCTCTATAAATGTTGCAGGCCTGCAGCTGCCCAGCAGGAAACCGTTAGCACTACACATACCATGGTGTAACAGTAGACCTCACAATTTACGTCAATACAACAGATCAAAGCATAAAGTTAGAAATCAAAGAAGGAAGACTCATGGAAGATACTACCATGGGGACCAAACGGGAGCACCATTCTCCAAAAAATCACATGGATGCAATGGTGAAGAGATAGGAGACGAGGCGAGTGAGGCCGGTGATGGCGAATATATCTGGCCAAACGGGCCGATTTTATCGGGCCGGCCCGGCAGCACGGCGGCACGGCACGCCCGGCAGCACGGCCCGGCACGGGCTAATCGTGCCGTGCCAGGCACGAGGCACGCACTGGGCCGTGCCTGGGCCGCGACCCTCAGCCCGCGTGCCAGCACGGCACGGCACGAATTCTAGCGGGCCGGCCCGTGGCACGGCACGGCACGCAGCCCGGCGGCACGGCACGATTGGCCCGCCTCGATCGTTGGGGGAGCGGGGCC